AGGAAGGAAGGAGCTAGGGGGAGGGAGGGAGGGAGGTTGGCAAGGTTAAGAAACACCACCTTGGGGTATAAAAGGAAGACAAGGGAAAGGGCCATCTGGGTCCCTGGGGAGTCTGTTCCTGACCTGGACTACCTCGAAGGGCAGACAGATACTTCTTGGGGAGGGAATCTTTGAAATGCCGAAGTACCCCAACAGGCTTGCTCTTCCAGGAACTCACCTCTTCTAGGGTCTGAAGGTGAACTCCAGCGGCCATGGAAATGAAGACGTGCTTGGAGGTGACGGCGGGGCCAATCTCTTGCAGAACGGCAGGGAGGATGTGGGGCTTGGTGGCCAGGAATATGAAGGAACAATTCTCCAGCACCTCCAAGTTACAGTGGGTTGTCTTGCAGTCAAAGCTCTTTTGTTGAGAAGAAAATAAGAAAAAGTGAGCAACACGCTCTAATCCCCAGCGTGTCCCTGAACTCCCTTCCGCCCAAGGGATGAAGCCCATTGTTTTCTGCAGCTCCAGCAGGTTCCCAAGGAAGATGCACCACCTGGATTATTTATTGATTTATATATCAAATTTATATCACTGCCCAACTCCCCCACAAGGAGGGACTCTGGGCGGTTATATTATATGTGCAGGAAAGACCGCAGGGCACCAGAAGCCTCATTAAGAGGGAAGGCAAACCTTCATTTTGCATTTCTTCAAGGCCCAGCTTTCCTACAAGGCAGGCACAAGAAGATGGGGGGAGCATTTGCTTCCACCTTTAACCAACCATGGTTTGAGCTCATACCCCCAAGGTTTTCTGAGCAAGCCGCACTTGGCTGGGTTTGCACAACCCACAAAGTTGTAAAGCTACACTTTAAAGCTACCACAGCCGGGTTGAGGCAGGGCACCAAGTGAAAATCAAGTAAACCGTACCATGGCATAGAATAAAACAAGAAACCAGCTTTTGTTCTGGAAATGCGAATTTGTTTAAGCTCCTCTTCAAAGTGCAGCCTTGTCCAACCCAATACCTTTCAGATATGCTAGACCTCATCTTATTTATTTGCTACAGTAATTTGGGGGCCACCTATTCATCCATCTCCCCAGGAGATTATGGCAGGTGCAATCCAACCCGTATAGAGGGCTCTAGATTTATTTATTTGCTTGTTTATATTTTATCACATTTATTATGATCACCCACTCCAGAAGACCCTGGGTGGCTTACAGTAACAAATAAGCAATGAAAAACAGTTCAAAATCACATGAAACGAACATGGCAGCCCAGACTAAAAGCAACCATACCAATAAAAACACAATACAAAACGTTAATAGGGGCTTCAGACACATTAACCCCAACCCCACCAGGCTGGGAACAGATTGGAGAAAGCTGACATTTACCATTCCAACCTAACAGGGGTTTCCTGCACAGCCTGTATCACCTGACGCATGTTTACCTGGAATTTGTCCAGATTCCTGTTCGATGGAGCGCTGGCCAGGATATTCACTGCTTGGACTTCTCCTGCAGCAAGAGAGGAGGAAGGATGACAGTCCAAAGGTAGAAGAACCTCTGTCACTGGACTGCAAACTCACTGAGTTCTAAACTCACAAGGCTCACAACAAGGGATAAGCCACAAGAAATACACATTCAGCAATGCAGCCCTAAAATCTAAACAATACTGAATAAGGATGGGCTGGGAGACCCACCAACTCTGCTGAAGAACGTTTCCCATTCCTTGCTAAGTCCTATAAGTTGGATGAAGGTCAACTAATGGACTGTCCCTGAGCCCAAACTGAGAAGACCCTGCCAGTTCCACATCATTACGAAGAGAAGGGCTCAGAAAATGGTTCTGTTGATTGACCTCTGCATGGTTTAGAGCAGTGTTTCTCAACCTTGGCAACTTACAATGTGTGGACTTCAACTCCCAGAATTCTGAGAGTTGAAGTCCATACATCTTAAAATTGCCACAGTTGAGAAACACTGGTTTAGAGGATGGTTAATGTGTCTGAAAGAAGCTGCTTCAGCATTCAACTTTCAAAACCTGTAATAGTTAATCTTCGACCAATGAGACTGCTTAGATCCCAACAGATTGGACAATTACCATCTGATCTCCAATATTCTGTTTTTGGACGTGGCACTCGGCACTGTGATGGTGACCCATCTCTAGAATTTCCTGGATTAGACCTATCAACTCGATCCATTTTAGCCTGGTTTCCAAGCTGCCTTTGGAACTCAAACAGCCTTTGTTGCCCTGTGGGATGTCTTCTCTCTGGACACGGACCGGGGAGGCATTTCTTCATGCATTCCACTTGAATTCCCACCAACTTTTGGTGCCAGCGACTTTGACGTCCTTCTGGATTGTCCTGCAGGGATAGGACTTCGGGATGCTGCAGTATGGTCGTTCCTGAAGGGCAGATTCCAGAAAAATAGTACTCCTCCTTGACACCTTTATCCTTGGAAGGGCCCATCTTGTCTTCTGCACTAATTAACATTTGCCTAAGTCAAGAACTCTCTGTCATCTCAGTCCAGAACTACTGAATGAGGTTGAACATATTAAAACCTAGGCTGAAGGAGAGAAAGATGACCAGCCTGTTCTGGATGGAAGTTTGTCATCTCAAACTCTTGATAACCAAAGTGTTAAGTTGACTACCCATCACTGGAACTACCACGTCCGACCATTTTCACTCAGACCCGTGGCACTTCTCAGCAAGTAAGGGGGCCCACATACACCAGGCTCTCTCTGACAATCATTTGGTAACTTCAAGAACTCTCTAAAGAATTCTGACTGGCACTACCTTGGGGGTCACCCTTTCCTGGTTGCCAATCTGTTTCAAAGAGCAACTCAAAAGTGTTCATCATCTTCATCATCATCATCATCATCATCCCAGATGGCTCATGACACTTTGATTAGAATTGGGCAAAAGGTTTCCGATATGAAACAGGCCATTCTGATTTCACACAAAGCATTGCAACACCTTGGGAACACTTCCTGTGAGCCTGGAACACCTCATTTTGAATCTGAAAAAATTTGCCCCCCTCTAGGTTTAACTAACAGTCCATCATTGCTACTGGGCCCTATAAAAATCCAGTGCAATCCATTTATATAAACTCACTGAACAAAAACGGGAAAATTGTTTTTACCGAAGATGGCTATTTCCCAGATGACATTTATGGTTGCAAAACAAAATCTGAGAAGATGAAAACAAATTTTACAGAGGCCCTTCTTGATGCCGTACAAGGCTTTTCAGCACCTGATTCCTGAAACATGGTTTGGAGTACGCAGTGGCAAGCGTTAGCAAGGTTGGCAATTCCTTAAACCAAATATATGTTTTTCCCAGGACTGTGCACCCTTTCTGAGCATAGCCCCCCGCCCATCTTAGATCAATTGGCTTATCCCCTGGGTCAAAATTGGGCATCGAGAAAATATTAAGAAAGCATACTTAATTTTATTGTTAAAGATAAAATTTGATCAAGAGTAGCCCGAAAGTCACAAATCCGCTCAGCTTGGGTGCCATTAGAAAAGTTTTCCTTCCATAATTTCCAGAACAAAGCAAAACTTCCAGAGGGTTAGACTCCGGGGGGGGGGGGGTGACATCACTGTGCTCCAGGGAGAAGAGCAAAGCAGGACCAAGACAAATCAGGATTTTTCCATGAGCTGCAGTAACTTTCCACAATAGCCTTAAAGTTGCAAAAAGTTCCATACAGGAGCAAACCTGCCTCTTCCTTTATAGCAAACTGCCCCCCACCCCATTTACTTCAGGGTAATCCCAACTGATTTCAACAGCTAATAATCGGAAACAATTCATGCACAGATTAGTGCTGCAAAGATCTGAAAGAGACAACTGAATTATTCTTTCAAGATTTCTGCAAAAGCCAACTTTCCATAGACGAGGGCTGGGAAGGGAATCTTTTAGGGGTCTGGGAGCTGACTTTATGTTTGGGGTTGGATAAAATGGGATTTTATATTTTTCTGGGGTTGAGGATGGGATGGAAGTTCTGGTTTATTATTTTCTTTAAACCACAAAAAAAATTATGTTTTTATCCAGCCCAAAACATAAATTCACCTCCCAGCCCCTAAAAGATTCCCTTCCCAGCCCTTAAACTACAGAAAGGCAGATTCCAACTGAGCTTAAAAAAAAACCTTCCTAACAATAAAAGCAATTTGAAAGTGGAACCAATGGGCCCCCTGTGTAGGAGGCAGGGGTGGACTAAATGACCTCAAGAGCTTCCAGTTCTAGCATGTTATTTTACATCTTACTCTATACCAATGTTTCCCAACCTGGGCAACTTTAAGATGGGTGGACTTCAACTCCCAGAATTCCCA